TCACAAATCGAAAAGGAATATGAACTTATTCTACTGGTGCTGTCCCTAATCTCTGCTGTTTTCTTACATTGACGTATTACAGTCTTTTTCTCTACAATTCTAAGGTTTGTTAAACATGCTGGGAAGTTATTTTAGGTTTTTCTTTTGTGGAGCCTTTTGGACTATTAAGGGAAAACAAGCATGAAGCAGTTCCCTCCAGTGTTAAGGTCCTACATTTACTCAGACCTAAAAGTGAAGCTGCACACACACCATGCAGATTTGCAGGACTGGTTCTGAATTGCCTTTGAAAATTATGCACTGTACAATCTATGGGAACTCATCAAATTACCTTGTTCATACTGCCACTTTCTCTTGGGAAATTTTTTTTTATTTGTTTTATTTCCTTTCTGATACAGATTTTTTTCAAGTTCCAGTAAAATATTGATTGGCTACATCTTCATCAGTGTAGAAAACTGAATGATTTAGCATCCTGAAACAGATTTGTGTGAGTCATTGCAGTCAAAAACATTAGTACACCAGTGAAGATTGTTTAATGCATAATTACTCCTACAGAATCAGTGCTGAGATGAGGAAACATGGCATGCTGGTTACTTTTTCCCCTCCTGTTGAAAGAGGCCATGACTCTATAATCTGCTGTGATGATAAAAGTGGTCTAATCATGGAGTCAAGATGATTGTGGTGGTTGAAAGGAACAAGGTTAAAAGAAATTTCAGGGACTGCTGGGAACTTTTTAAACTGATAGAGTCAATTTTATTCCCCAGCTCCTGGGCATACACCACACTCGAGGGAGTATGCCTCAAGTGATTTTCTCTTTATGTAGTTTTGGCTATATGACATAGTATAGAAAGCACCGAGTAACTGGCAGTACATGAATTCAGCCTTCAACAGTGTATACAGCAGGGACTCCGAGGTACTGTATCTTGTCCCTCAGCACTGTCTATTAACTTGAGCTGAGTGCCATGCCTGGGCTCTAGCTGAGCTTTTTGCAATATCAGCATGGTGACTTTGCATCATCCACCATATACTGTGTAGACATAATCTGCTTTTTGTAGCATCAGATTTAAATGAATTGATGTGAGATTACTGGCTTTTTTTACATGCAGTTTTACCTGAGTGATTGAGTGTTCATCATTTATTCTAGCCCCAGAAAACTTCCTCATTGAAATGCAAAACCTGTGTAAAGCAGATTCCATCACCTGTAGGTGTTAATCAGCACCTTACCCAAGTTTCATAAAATGCTTCATGCCATGAGGATGTAGGGCAATGGGCATCCTTGGATCTGCTTGTGAACATCACAGCCAAATCCTTGACATACGTTGGGTGAATTAGGTCCTGTGGAAGTTGCTGGATCCAGGAGTCCCTCTGAGCTGGGGCTGAATGCAGCTCCATGGACAGGGTCTGAGTGTCAAGTCTGAATTCATTACTCAATCCTAAATTTATAGGGCTCATAGAACTGATCTGTCCCTTTTTTTTTTTTTTTTTTTTTTTTTCCTGGCTGTAAATAGTTTCCTCAAATTTTTGTGCAAGTATCTTCTTCTTACAAGGTCCTTACCATGCATTAATACTTAAATTACTGGGGTAAATCCCTCAAAATACTATTGATCTTCTACCATCCTTGATTTTTTCCAGTTAATCTAGGTAATGATAAGGGTTTCTTTAAAACTGACTAAGCTATTACCTTTTTTAAAAAGATATGTTAAACTCTTGTTCTTATCCTAGTGACTTTCACCTCTTTGTTTGTTTTAGAACACAGTCACCCATGTAATTAGAATATATAACATTCTGTCCTAGATCTGAATCCACAAAGCAGAGCTTCCTAAGCTGTTTTTCTTCACAATTGCCACAGAAAAACACCTTTGAAAATGCTTTTAGTGCTAAAGGAGCTAGTTCACATTTCACATGGGGAACTTTGCTGCCTACTGAAGTACATTAAGTAAGAAAGATTTCAGCACCTGCTTCGTTGTAGTCATTGCAGAGTTGTAATATTTTGAGTTTTGCTAAGCTCTGACTTGAAAAATTTAAAACACATAAAAGAATTCAGACACAAAGGGCCAGTTAATTCCTGGCATATCCATATGCACTGAAAGGAGCTACCGCAGGCGTGACGTTAGCCCCATGGGGATTTTGTATGTAAGCAAGGTGCAGGGATTTGAAAGAGGTTTTTTCCCCCTTCACTGGGATTTTCTTGCAAACACTGACAGAATATATAGACCTAATTGCAAAACACAGTATCCTGTTTTTATTTCCTGTGTTATATCAAGCTCAATACTCATTAGAGCCAAAGCTCAGTTTGTGACTCAGAGTATGGAGACTGATCAAGAAAGCCTCTAAAAGAAAAGATTCTGTCTGCTAAAACAGAGAAGTAAATAAAATTGTATAGCTTATATGTACAGATACCCAGATAAGGGTATAGAGCAGGCTGGTATATAGCAGAAAAAAGGCCTGCTTTTTACCTCCTGAAACGCAAAGAACACAGGTTAAACAGCATGCGTATAAAATGAGTATTTAAATTCTTTTTGTTTCGTTTTTTTGATTACCTGACCAAATCTTCCCTTCATTCAGTAGGACTTTTTTTCAAGTTTGAGTTTCAACTACAGTATTAAACTCTTTGACAGATTACCTTTGGGTGGGTTTTTTGTCATTGTTTTGCTTCTTGGAGTGTAGTGGTTGATTTGTTGTGCATTAGAGATGGAGGCTGGGGCATGGAAAGGAGCCAGTGTGGGAATACAACATCCAGTGGTTAAAGCCATGGTTTCATTAGAAACTACTCTTCCTGAGTAAACAGGGGAAAAAATTTCTACATAAATTCTCATCCAAAAAAACTCCCTGAGATTATTATCTGGAAAAACAAAGATTGGGAATGAAGCTGAAAGAATATTAGGTATATGCATAACTGGATCAAAGACAATTTATTTGATGTTGCATTGTATCTTCCTTTTCCCAAACAGTGAAATGTGAAGATACTACTAGTCAGTATATGCAAAAGGCAAACAATGAATGACTGATTACTGTTTGACTGTGCTTTCTAATTTCTTTTTGGTGATGGTGTTCACTTAATTATGAACAATTCTGTAAATATATGAAAAATTCCACTTGCCTGTTTAATATTCTTAAATTCCATATAGAGAGTGAAATCTGCATAAGAGACTTCCAGAAAGCTTTATGTCTAGCTGGTTACTATTCCATGTAGCTGCATTTTTAAATATAGTTAGGGGGCTGACAGTAGTCTCTGGAGCTGTCCTCTTACAAATATAATGTGTCTTTTTTTTTTTTTCCTCTGGGAGACCTGGAATGGGGGAAAAGAAGGTTTCCCAAGACTGTAAAAAGGCATGAAATCTCTTCTTATTTATACCTCTCTAAATTTCTGTTGTGAGTCCATTCTTCCCATTGCAATTGCAAATGTTCCTTAGTTTTCCTGGTGTATCCAAGAAAGATCCTGTAAAAAATCTGATCTTTTATAAGCAGCTTCTCCTCTCTCAGTGAGTCTAAACCTCTGAAATACCCACTGTTGTTCTAAAGGTGTGTGAGTGTTTATTAGTTTTTATAGGGAGAACTATGGTAAAACTACACTGAAATTTCTTTTGCTTCAAGAAGAAAAATAGCAGAAGCCCAGCTATTTCAGATAAGTAGCAGAGAAAGAGCTAAGCTCAAAAAAACAGCAGTAAAATTCTGTCTTTCTCCAATTCCCCATTGTGTACACAGTAAGATATTAAAACACTGAAGTTTGATCATCTTACACCCTTAATACAGATTAGATTACATTACCAAGTGAGAGAAAATCTTGCGACCACAGTTGCACGTGAAGAATAAAGGGATTAAATTATTTGGACCGCAGATACTTGATCTGCCTCTGACTCCCCATATTCCTGTACTGGGGCTGCTATCCCAAATAGTAGGGATCGCACCAGGTCAGCTCCACTAACGAGGGAGCAGAAATAAGATTCATTTGGAGGAGGCAAGTGCTACTGTAGTTTAATGTATAATTCACACTGTCCCAGTCGTTTACTCTCTAGTATTTTCATTCATCTCCTTTTATCACACATCTGCCTGCATCTTCACGCAATTCTCACAGTATGACAGCTCTTTGTTAAGCTTCATTTGGTGCAAAAGTTACAGACTTCAGCTGCCTACCAGCAAGAAGGTGGGAGTGCAATTGCCACAGATGGCTTCATGGTTGACTTCATTGCAGGGACGAGGCTGACAATGCCGGCATTGTTTGATTTGAATACCACATTCTGAATATTGTAAGAATATAGTTGGCTTTCCCATATCATAGATAGATAAAGAAGGCAAAATTAAGGTTGAATATTGTTGAACTCTCCATACTTCTTCATTTTGTACTTCAAGGTGTTGAAGTCAACTGAGACACAGGGAATGTTCATATCCATTGATAGCCATTGATATTTTGCCATTGACTGTTTTGGGATTAGCATTTCAACCATGATCTTTAGATGTATGAATTTTCAGTGAGAATCAAGGAAAGGTCTCTTTGTTTGCTTTACAGAACATCCATGTAATTTTTACTTTCACAAAGAAATTTAACCTGAAGTTAACTTAGGCTCTTTTGTATGGAATTGCAAATTGACTTCTAATAGAACAGAAGATTCAGCCTTTGGTAAATTATTGCACTGTTGCATTTCCTTTTTAGGAAGAAAATACATAGCAGTAATCCTATATAAAAGTAATATGCTAAATCCCAGTAATACACCAGTAATATCCTATGTATCAATTATATATATGTATGTGTGTATACATACACGTGAAGACATAAACATAGTATAGGCTTTTGGTTCATTTTTTTTTCATTTATTTATGTGCATATGTACATGAAATGAATGGAAGATAAAAGGAATTAGTGCAAGTGTAAAGGTAGTAACTTAAATGCTACAGCTACATTTCTTCCTTCCTGTCATTTAAAAAAAAAAGGGGGAGTCACAGGAATCTAGCATCAGAATTGTGTCCCTCATATGGTTAGTGATAACATTGTACTGTTATTTCAGATAAACCTGCAGAAGAAGATGCGAGTCACTGGAGTTATAACTCAAGGTGCCAAGAGGATTGGAAGTCCAGAATATGTAAAATCTTACAAAATTGCATACAGTAATGATGGGAAGTCATGGACAATGTACAAAGTAAAAGGCACAAATGAAGACATGGTAAGATTAAGTCATGTATATGAATACATCTTATGGTTTAGCTGCCTTCAGAAGTATGAGGTGTCTGTAGTAGATAAGCATAATTGCCTGACAGTATGATATAAGTTCCCTTGTTATTATTTTTCTCTGAAAAAAAAAAACATCAATAAATTTGCACTTTCTGTCTGCTAAGAATTTCTTACACTTTAATTGATGGTTGTATAAATACTATGTCCCAAGGCTAGAATAGTCCTGTTTATTACACTTAACTGATTTTCATTTTAATTAGCTTACCAGTAATTACTCATTACTCCATTTTGAATTTAGTTTTATTACATTGGCAGATTAGTGTTAACCCTTAAAAGCATAGAACCTATTCATCAGTGCTAATCTGTACTGCACAAACAGCATCATCCAGTGGGAAGTATGTGTTTACAGTTTATAGTTACCCTTTTTTTTTATAGAGTTGTGCATACAAAGCAACAAAAATCCCTTTACTGTGTAAGTTAAGATAGAACTAAGGCACTTAGCAGCATTAGACATAGTTTCTGTATTAGGAAATTAAAATGCTGTGTGAAGAGGTATATAATGAGAGAAGAAAAAAAAGTACAAGCATATCTGGTTAGAGTGAGGACTGAATAGAAGAATGCTTATAGGTTTAATTCAGCTCCCCCTGTGATCAGTGGGAGGGTTACAGTGCACTTCAGTGGGAGTTGGATCAGGTTCTTGAAGTGGAGGGAAAAAAATAAATGTCAATCAGCATAAATAATTGCAGGCTAAATTGAATTGGGACTATTTAATACACTAATTAGAAAAGAAGACATAATTTAGTTGCATTAGTAGCTTCAGTTTCTAGGAGTGAAAAGATAGAGGTCCTGATTCAGCGCAGGTGGCAAACATGTGCCGATGCAAGCCCATGGCACTATGTTTTGCTTAAAAACTTGTATGTTGGGCACTAGAAATGATGAAACAGTCTCTACTTGGGAAAAGCTTGCAGAGGAATGTACAGGGACAGTCAGAAGAGCAAAGCAGATATTTCTGAGATACAGAACTGAACCTCCAGTAATCCTCCTGGCTCATTTTTATGAATATGTCATTTTATCACAGGTGTTTCGTGGAAACGTGGACAACAACACCCCGTACGCTAACTCCTTCACCCCTCCGATTAAGTCGCAGTACGTACGGCTGTATCCTCAGGTGTGCAGACGACACTGCACGCTGAGAATGGAACTCCTTGGCTGTGAACTGTCAGGTGGGTTTCCTGCAATTGCCACCCCTCAGACGTCAACCATCAAGCAGTGCATTTTTGTGCCCGAGGTCTAAACTGTGCACAGTTTGTTCCTGGCAAAATGCAGTGGGCAGCTGTCGTGGTTTAACCCCAGCCAGCAGCTAAGCACCACGCAACCTCTCACTCACTCCCCCCATCCAGTGGGATGGGGGAGAAAATCAGGAAAAAGAAGCAAAACCTGGGGGTTGAGATAAGAACTGTGTAATAGAACAGAAAAGAAGAAACTAATAATGATAATGATAACACTAATAAAATGACAACAGGAGTAATAAAAGGATTGGAATGTACAAATGATGCGCAGGGCAATTGCTCACCATCCGTCGACCAACACCCAGCCAGTCCCCCAGCGGCGATTCCCTGCTCCAGCTCCCCCCAGTTCCTATACTGGATGTGACGTCCCATGGTATGGAATACACTGTTGGCCAGTTTGGGTCAGGTGCCCTGGCTGTGTCCTGTGCCAACTTCTTGTGCCCCTCCAGCCTTCTCGCTGGCTGGGCATGAGAAGCTGAAAAATCCTTGACTTAGTCTAAACACTACTGAGCAACAACTGAAAACATCAGTGTTATCAACATTCTTCACATACTGAACTCAAAACACAGCACTGTACCAGCTACTAGGAAGACAGTTAACTCCATCCCAGCTGAAACCAGGACAGCAGGCCTGAGTTTATCCAGACAGTTACCTGTCTGTTTTTATGTACATTATATAAGCAGCGACACTTACCTAAATGGTGTAAGTGACAACCGTTGCTTGCAGTAGGGCAGTAATAGTAGTAAGTTAATGTGGAAGCAACCTAATAACACTTCGTAAATTTTTTCTGTGGACATTGGCCTCCAATTATGTGCAACCTAGAAAAGGTCATTTATAGCAGTTTTATTAAGTGTCAACAGCTCTCAGGACCTGCAATGTTACATACTAAGCAGCTATGAGACAGAGTGTCTAACTCACAGTTACACTCAGCACAGCCTAAACTTAAGCGCTGAAAAGAGTTTCTGAGAGACGAAGCTGTTTGTGCAGTGCTATACATAGGAGTCACGGCAGAAGCAGGCATCAAAGCTGATTTCAGTAATTTCTCCTGGCTGCTGGGTGACCGCGCTGATGTGCTTTGTGACATCCTCAGAGGAACAAGGGTGCTTCAGCTGCCGTCAAGGACCACTCAAAGTGCAGTAAGATATATTTTGCTGGACTGCTTTAGTCAAGACTTCAGTTTAAATTTGTTTTGTGGCTTTCTAGCAGAAGCAGGGATTGTGTCTCATAGCAAAAAGTAAATGAACAAGTGGAGCCAATACAAACCCTCTTAAGTTTTGTAGTAGCAGAAGTTATAGCTCATAAATGTAAAACCTGACCTCTAGCCACTCTCTGCAAGAACCATGTTCCCTTACAAATTCAGTAAAGCATGTAAATTTTTTATCTTCTTCAAGAGATCAACCTTTTACTGGTGGCAGCCCTCCACTGAATTAATTTAAGAATGACTTTTATGTGGCTGCCTGCTTACTGTACAAACAATAGTCACCCAGTTTACGAATGATATATCAAAACAGCTGGAGTTAAATAATTCTCAGTCCTCTAGTGGCATCAAAACCAGATTCAGAAATGAAAAGTTAATGCATTAATCTCACTGTAGCCCTTTTCCAATATAGATAGGTTTGAGAGTAAATAGAAAATTCTGTCTAGCTGCTTTAGTCTATTACATTTTTTTTTATGTCTTCCATTTCTGGAACCACAATTTAGAGTAAGTCCTTGCCAGAATTACTAGGAATTGTTTTGCTCAAAGAACTGTGAAAGCTACTGAAGTGAATTCATTTCAGTGGTCTCCTAACAGTTTCAAGGTCATAATTCCTTAGAACTGCAGGCAGCCAAGGCTCAGCAGAACAATTTCAATCTTACTGAAAGAAGAGTATAATTATACATAACGACAGACTAATTTACTCTAATTCCAGGTGCTCTGTCTTAGGCAGAAAAACACTTTGAGAGGTCTGGCTTCTCTAACAAATCCTGGTGTTGAGAATAGAGTCAGTACTAAAGGGATGGCTACTGTCTCTCAGCACCAGATGATCATAAAAACTAATTCTTTCTTAGGACAAACTTCAGCAAAATATTTAATATAAGCTCCTCTAGGCTTATAAATAGTTTTACTTACCAGAACCCATGGTCAGATCTTATTGAAAACCATGATCAATGCTTGTGGAGTTGTCCATCAATAAATTAGGCATTAATTTTCATAGCCTTGTGTTCCTGCCTTTCTTGTGTTTTGCACATCTCTGTGTTGTAAATTCCCTTCCCTTCATAGAGTATTGATGTGGGGGGAGATAGAGATCACAGCTACTGTTTATTAGAATGCCTTTATTCATTAAGCTGTTATTAATAGTAGCATCAAGCTGTTGTTTTTAAAAACAGATAACTGTTCACACAACACAGTCATTTACTTACGAAATTCGCTCATACACTCAAACGTGCATATAGCAGGCTCTGACTTCTTGCATGCGGTCCATATCATACATTGTTGATGCTGATATATGTTGGTGGCCGTGGGCCAATTCAGCAAATTCTTGGTGTTCTGAGTTTGTTAGTTCTTGCAGAGGGATGCTGTCTCCAGAACTTAACTAACCTTGTGAGACTCATAGCATCTTCTGAGCATGTAATTTTCCTCTTTTTGGCATGTTGTTCACTGGTAACTGTTTCTCTATCCTAACAGTACCTATAGGTACCACTCACACAAACTCACACACAAGGGGACTTTGTAACATCTGCATTTAATACTACATTCCCTCCCTTTGTTCATCTTCAGCACTATCTAATTCTATGTCACTTAATAGGAAGAATTTTTTTTAAATCCCTTGATTTTCAGAAAAGAAAAATATCCCAGTATTAATTAAAACAAAATCACCTTTGTCCTCAAATAATTGACCTATGCTGCTTTTGCCAATACTGCATGAATCCTGGCCCAAGACAAGGTGCATGTAGACCTTTGCGTGCCAATCCATTTGTGGTTTTGCCTCCACTGCACTAGATATTTAATATTTCCTTTGAGGGTTTGAGCTTTCTTGAAAGAAGAGGTAGATGAAGGGCATGGTACAGGATGCAGACTGAAGAGTAAAATATCGTGCCCTCAGAAAAGTCACCAGAGAATAACTTTCATGTGGATTCTTTCAGTTTTCAGATGCAAATCCACACTCATCCTCATTATTTCACTGCTCCTGTTTCATTGAGCTAGATGAAATAAGAAGTAACTGCAAACTTATACCAAGATAGGTTTAAACATATGGAGTTATCAGATATCATTTATCAGAGATGGTTATATCCAAAGCATCTCAAACATTTTGACCTAAGATGCTGCACTGAGCATAGCCATTAAGTATGACTACATCAGCTCTCACTAACTTTAACAGGTTGTAAAAATGGGAAGGGAGATTGAATCCTTTTGCAGGGACATTGCAAAGCAAACTTAAAGAAGATACAGTGTAGTGGAGATGTCCCGGTGAGTCATGAGCATTATTATAAACACACTTCTATGAGGGATGACTATCTACAGACACAAAAGTTTTGTACTAATTTGATGATTCTGTCCTTTGCACTCTAGGTTATAGCTCGCCTATCAAAATAAACAGGCATTACCTTCTGTCATTGCAGCAGGGCGCCATAGGAGCTGGGAAGCAACTGGGTCTGCTGTTGCTCTCTGTGACACAGCACTAAGACATTGTTCTGCCACCCGTGTGCATCATGTTCATCTCTTCTGTTCTCATTGCTCTTCTCACTTTATTCTGTTACCTTTAACAACTGTCTTCCTCCTCCCTTTGGGGCAGCGGAGAAGGAAGGCGAGTGTAAAATCCCATTAATGCATGCACGCATGCACAGACACACAAGCAGACACATCTGTTGTTTCATAAATCAATAATAATACTCAGAAAAGATAGAACTATTTTTGATGGATTGGACCAGCGCTGAAAAACAGTTTTGACAACCCATGTTTTTGTGTCAGGAACCACCTTCAGATTCCTCAGATGAAACATTCCTGCTGACAGCCCTTGTGATCCCGGAGTGATGCTTCAAAATTGAATAATAAGCCAAGTCCTTCTCTAAAGCAACAGATGAATCTCTCTCATTTGTGCTATCAATTGCTCTTTCATACTCCAAGGAAAACTGTTTTGTTGTTGTTTTGAACTAGGTAGTTCATTCTAAAAACAAGGCTGTGCAATTTGCGTTTGTGCACTGAGAATCAGTTCTGAAAGGTTGGGTTTTTTTCAAAAATTAACTCTCTTTTCTGTTTATTTTTTAATTGAATATGAAGCATGACAGTATTTCAAATTTTAAATAAAGTAGTTACTACACTAAAGAGCATATTATTATTTGTCTCTGGTAATTTGCATTTGCTTCTGGTGTTAGACCCCCCACAAAGGGCCTGGTCTTACCTTACTGATTTGAATACATAATAATTCCACTTAATTCTGTGTGTTAAACCTATGGGAGAAACAGAAAGTAGAATCTGACCAAAAGGTCTTTGCTAACAATATCAAAGAAACTAAAAAAGAATCAGGTCTTTAAATCTGGGTAAACATGCTGTAGAGGAAATGGACTTTTAAGAAAAAGAGAACCAGCTTTGATACCTAGCTCAAATAAAGTGAAAAACAAAATAAAAACTTTGAAGGTGTTTTAAGTGGTCACACAGTGCTCTGGCTCTATCAAGAGACACCAACTGAGTAGGGTCATGGTCCCAGCAGGAAAGCCTTCACGACTTACATGTGTGCTTTAAGAAACACAGCTGGTGACTCAGCAAATGATTACCTGATAGGAACCCGCTCGGCGGCAAGGGATGTGAGTGTCAGGTGGAAAACCTCTGTCTTCCCAATGATACATAAAGTCAAGGTTCTGTGCATTCATGGTGATGATGCACTCCTTGCAAAACCAGGTATGTTAGATCCTGGGCACACTCTCACTCAATGAGTTAGGGTATGTTAAAATATTATTGGCTATTTAACTGAGTCCAGTCAGCTACTGAACTGAGTAGGATCCCCAAATTTGTGAAGTCAAAACTTTGGGACAACTGCACATATGCAGGTTTTTGACATCTGGGGCAGGAAGGAAATAAGATAACAGCTTCTTTTTATGTTCCGATCTCCATCTTTCACCTTTTGTTCAACCATCAAACATTACTTCACCCAGCCGTACTTCTGCCCTTACTGACCTCTTAGCAGCCCTCTTGCTCTCAGTCACTTGACTTGCCTTTCTTCTTATTATTTTTTTAAATCTTAAAACCATGCAGCATATCTGCCTCCCTTGGCTTCCAGTACTGTTGGCACAGTGCTGCTATCAAAGGGTAACTCTACTGTTGTCAGCTTGCTTCTTCCCTCTTCTGGATCCAAATGAACCTTCCGTGTTCCTAGTGTACAACAGCAAGGCAGAGAAACACAGAGTCACTTTTTTTTTTTTTCATGAACACCCAACAGAGAAAGGAGAGGGCCAAGATCTCTCTTTTGCTATAATCAAAATAATTCAATGATGTGGGACATCCACCTGTTTTAAACAAATAAGCCATTACCTCTCGATTTCTCCTAAGCGATTATCTCCTACTATTCTTCCTCCTTCGCAGTTGTTTTTCTGTAGTCTTCCACTCTGTCAGTGGGTTTTGGGGCTTTCTAATTTTTTGGCTAGATGTCAAGTAATTCAAAAGTGTAGAAGAGCTCAGTGCTTGTTAACATTTTGCTTCAGCAGTGGCTTTAAGAAAAATTAATGTTTCCTCAGTAGGCAAACACATGGTTGATGTGACATGGCATAAAAGCATGAGAAAATCAAACTGAATAGGGGAAACAATAGCAACCTGCTGGACAGGAAAAACCAAGATAAGAAGAGACAAAAGTCATCTTTTCTGTTTGTTTGCCTTCATAAATTTATGCCAGGATAAAATATGTTGAATTCTCTATCTTGTTTTTGATTCTTCCAAGGTAGTGTGGAAATAAAGTGCCTTGAATTGGCTATTTTTCCTTTGTCTGTTTGCAAGTTCCTCCAACAATAGACTTGATTAAAGCCTTTTCTTCAAGAATTGCTAGTTTTCTTTTCCATAACGGAAAACCTAAACCGCTTACAGAGATAAATAGGTAGTGTCACAGATCTTATTTTGCTATTCCAGGTTGCTCTGAACCCCTGGGGATGAAATCAGGACATATACAGGACTACCAAATTACTGCCTCCAGTGTTTTCCGTACACTCAACATGGACATGTTCGCTTGGGAGCCCAGGAAAGCCCGCCTGGACAAGCAAGGCAAAGTTAATGCCTGGACCTCTGGCCACAGTGACCAGTCACAGTGGTTGCAGGTAAAGCTTCACATACATTTTCCCAAATGTTTATCTTCTTTGTGTTTCAGGTATGGGGACGGTTGACTGGTTTAGGATTATATTCATATTCTTCAGTTTCTGAGTGTAACCATCCTAACTCTGCCACATGTAGATGATGAAGCTATGGAAGCCCACACAGATCGTCGTGTCTTTGGTACCTCAGTTGCAGAAAACCCTGCTCAGGGAAACCTTCACCTCCACAAGCCAAACCTTACAAGTTGTCCAGCAGCCATGGATTTTCCTTTGTAAATGGACTCAAATAGTAGTTACAGATCTGTTTTACTGGCTTCTCATTTGCTGAGAGAGATGATTTTTTTCCCCCCTTCTGTACTTCCAAAGCTCCCCAGAAAAGCCTATTTACTTCAGCTGCGTGCACGTTAGAAAATCCAGCTCATAGAAATTATCTTTGTTGAATTGAGACGCTCAAAATTACCTTCTGACACCACACTGAAGCTAGCAAGACTGATTCAGCACATGAATTCATTATAAAGCTGTGCACAGGGGTTGTTTTCAGCCTGGGAGTGATTTATACAAGTCAGTAGCACACTAATGTGAAAGATTGCAATAAATCACCAGTATGGAAGCCTATTTGACCAGTCACTGACACATTTACATTTTTTGAACTGTTGAAAATAGCAGTGTTTTGAGTCAGCTGCCAGTTTACAGTGCAGTTCTCAGTGGGAAGCCTCAATAGCACTAGACGTGGCTATTAACACCCTGCAATATATTCACATATAAATTATGACATATTAGCTTTTTTACCAACAGTTGCTAAGCAGTTTGATTACTATCTTTTCTCCAAGTTTACATACATACAGAAAGGAAGGAGCAGTTGCCTTGTCTATTTAACTTTTAACTAGCTGAAGGTCCTGGGATTTGCTGAAGGTTTTTTACAGCAGCTTGTTGAACAGCAGTTAGTAACTTCTGGAGAGGAGAAAAATTTTATTGCTGTGTTTTACAATGGAGAAGCAGAAGAAAATGTTTCTCCACGTAAAAGAGAGGCAGTTGTATCATATTTAGCCCCATCAGATACCAAGAAACCAAGGGTGTGCAGAGACTCCACAAAAATATCCTGTGGTGTGTTATTCCTCCTGTGGGTGACAGAGTATTTTTAATTAACTACAGATGGCAAGGGGTTGCAGAGTTAATTCTTATATTCTAAAATTTTCCATTCTGTTCTAAGTCATGCTATATTTGAACGTACCTGAACCTGCAAATTTAATCTGACCACTTGCACAGTCTCTGCAAGTCCTTGAAGTATCACGTGTGCTTTTTTATATCTAGTCAAAAAGAAAGTTGTGAAGAAATATTCATCTTTTAGTTCATCACATGTCTGTGATATGAGTAACTTCACAGGAATATGACCAATTTACCCTTTCCTGAAACTCATTTTACTTACAATATTTCTCCAAAAGAGATTCATAACATTTCTTGTGTGAAAAAAACCAGGAGGCATTAAAACCATTTGTTTTTTCAGTGCTTAAGCTGGTCATATACTTCTACTGATTATTCTGAATTCAGTCCGTGAGTAGAGATGGACTCACATGCTTCAAGTCTAGGTAACAATTCTGTAAGACATGCCTGTCATTTATATTCGTCCATTCATTGTTGTTCTCTTTGCTGGCAGTTCTCTGTTTTTTCCTTAAAGAGCAGAGTATTATATTGTAACCTTTTAACACACTGACTGCAATTTTATTGTCATGCTGCTTTCACAGAGTTTAGCCAAAACACATTTGTAAGAAAAAGCATGTGAAAGCAAACTTACCTGTATGCCCCTTTCCCTCACCAACTGCATAGTACAAGGAATAGTCCCAATAGAGATTCCATGGTATCCTAAAATGGGCTTTAAGACAGCGATTTTTGGATTTTGCTAAAGTAGCTGGCCTACCAATATGATATTTCACAGTGTTAGCTTTCCATGCCCTTTGAATTTTCTCCACATGCCTTATTTGCTTTACCTTTTATAATTTTCACTAGAATGCCTATAAAATTGGGTAAAAGCCTGCCAAATACCTTTAAAAATTATTGTTGTAATTTGTGGTATGTGGATGACTGGAACAGATCTGTTCTGACTTACAGTCATTTTGGGGGATCCTTGCCCAAATGCTATTGCTATCAACTGTTCCTCTGTTTAAAAGCTTGTGTGCTAACATACTTCTCAGAGCACCTGCTGTGATAATGGTTGCTGAGAAGTGGTGTTTGCATCATGCGTAAATGCTACTTGCTACTTATGGGCAGTTCACAGCACTTTTGGATGGACTCTAGAGATAAATTCTTCTCCATCATGAGCTGGGGTTGTTTTACTTAGTTTTCTCCCAAAAAGGAAAATTCTGAATCTTCTGTGGAATTAAAAATGCAGCCATTAACAAGTATGCTCTTTGTTTTAAAGTGTTCTGGATTGCTACATCCACAATTTAGCTCTAGAGGCAGGAATATGATGTATTATGTGGCTTCATGCACAGACTGTGCATTTTTGGGTTCAAGAAGAATACTCAACTTATTGGTGCTGCAATTGTTGAAAATCTGTTGTGATCTAGACTCAACTCACTTATGAACTACAGGTTCCCCACACAACACTTCTTTTACACCAAACAACATCATTAGCAATGGAAGAAAGTATTTTTGTGACGTGGAGGAAAAGTTAATGAGATTAGATGACCAAAATTGTACTTTTCCAGCTCAGTCAATCTGGGTCTGAATTCCCCCACATGCTTGCTGAAGGGCACTCCTTCCATTCCTTTAAAGATGATGCTGCAGAAGCCATGTCAGTTGCCTGGCTTAATTCATTGCACAGGAGCTTCCCTTAACTCAGGTAACCTGCCTGATTAGTGTCTCTGTACTTATCACAGTTCAAATCTATGCAGCTTGGTGATACGGAACAACGTTGCTGTTCAGGTTTGGTACCGAATGTAATGTGAGTAATCAGTTCCAGCAACTCTCTCTGCTCCTGGATACTTTCTTGAGGGATTCCCTTCCTTTTGGACACACTTCTGTGAAATCATCTGCAGCCCAGAAAGCCAACTGTATCTTGGGCTGCATCACAAGAAGTGTGACCAGCAGGTCGAGGCAGGTCATTCTCCCCCTCTACTCCACTCTGGTGAGACCCCACCTGCAGTACTGTGTTCAGCTCTGGGACCCCCAACATAAGAAGGACATGGACCTGTTGGAGCAAGTCCAGAGGAGGGCCACAAAGATGATCAGAGGGCTGGAGCACCTCTCCTATGAAGACAGGCTGAGACAGTTGGGGTTGTTCAGCCAAGAGAAGAGAAGCCTCCAGGGAGACCTTATAGCAGCCTGCCAGTACTTGAAGGGGGTCTGCAAGGAAGCTGGAGAAGGACTTTTTACAAGGGCATGTAGTGATAGGACAAGGGGTAATGGCTTTCAACTGCAAGAGGGGAGATTTAGATGAGATGTAACCAAGAAGTTCTTCACTGTGAGGGTGGTGAGGCACTGGAACAGGTTGCCAAGAGAGGTTGTGGATGCCCCGTCCCTGGCAGTGTTCAAGGCCAGGTTGGATGGGGCTTTGAGCAACCTGGTCCAGTGGAAGGTGTCCCTGCCCATGGCAGGGGGGATGGAATTAGATGATCTTTAAGGTCCCTCCCAACGCAAACCCTTCTGTGATTCTATGAATAGAATTAAAGATCAGGGGGAGGCAGGGAAGTGACATTAAAGAAAAAGAAAGTCACGGTTTGCTTCCCATGATTGTGTATAACGTTAGCATAAACTAAGTGAGGTAAAGCATTTCAAGTTAATTACTGAGAAATTAAAGAAAAGCCTAAACTTCACTTTTCTTCAAGGCAGCCCCTTTCCCTTATTACTTTGATTTGGTTGTCAGCATCATCTGCTACCATGAACCAGTTCACAAGCTTCTGCCGGGATCTCTTGCTGAACCACCGTGACCAGGCTACTTTGCCAGTTTTGGGAGTGCTTCTGCTCCTCCTGGACACAATCCAGGACTGTCATTCAAGATGGTCACCCCACTCTTCATTTCTTCAGTTATTTGATGTTAAAAGAATTGTTAAAGAACTTCCTGCTGTATGCTCAGAATGAGGCACTGCGGCTATAAACATTATTGAAAATTATTCCTACTGACCTTTCAGATGCTTGGTGACTGCTCTTGTAAATAGATTTTCACCATTCTGTGTCTCATTTTCCTAGCTGAGACTATCATTCAAAAGAATTAACATTTTCCTCAAAATCCATTCCCACTCTACTGTTACAAATAATGGGATCACGACAGTGGTGTAACTCTTTTCTCTATTTACTGTTAGTTAAGTTTCAGAGTTTTAAAATATTTCCTTATTTCTGCTAGATCAACAGATGCCATACCATCATTGTATTGATTTCCCACTTTCTCTCACTGCCTAATAAGAACAGCAACACGATCTGCTTTAATGCCTTTGCCCATTTGTCCTTTGCCTGGTGCTTCAGCAAGTAATTTCTCTGATGCTCTTTCTCTGATCTACCGTCCTCTGCAATATTCCTTGGAGCTGAAGCATCTCATTTCATTTGGTGTCTCCAAATAGCTGGAGGTCTCTTCTCCCTCCTCATCCATCTCCTTTGCATAAACTGTTTTGTATGTTATCCTAGTCCTAACTTTATTATCATACATTTGTTGCTAGTATTTTATCTTTAAAATGGTGATATTGTGGGTTTTTTGAAGGCCTGTCTCTCTACAGAGCACAGCTGGGTGAAAAGGGTGCCTGTCTTGGAGCCTGCTGAGGTTCCTTTTATATCTCCATATTATCTTCAGGTCACCAGCAGCACTGCAGTAGCTTTAGGTTTCTAGTTGTAATTGAAACTTTAAAGCAGTTTACTCGCTGCAAAAATGACTTTCATCTGGTTGCTTAACTTGTATTTTGCTGCAAAGCTAGTGGAAGGTTCTGCAGCTTGATGTGCTTGAATGATAAACCTGATACAGTTTGTCCGCAGTTATTTTATATATCTACCATTGAGCTCAGAAGAGAATCATCCTTCCC